ATCAACGATTTGGTCATATGAGCATGGAGACGGTGAAAGTGTTGGCAAACAAACTCGATGTCGGAGTTAAGATGAATGCAAAAGGTCTGGCTTCCTACGAGTGCGTTGCTTGTGCTGCCAGTAAGGCGAAAAGAATGTCTTCTAAACGGATTCCATCGCGGAAGTCCGAGCCTCTGGAGACTCTCATGATGGACATTTGCTCTGTGAGCGAACCGTCTGTGGATGGAGCTACTATGTTTCTCTATATCATAGATGAGTCTACAAGGTACAAGTGGCCGTTCCTACTCAAGAAGAAGAGTGAAACAACGTTCCACATCAAGGTCCTGTCGAACAGGCTGCGAACTCGCTTTCCTGAGAAGAAGGTGCGACGACTACACTCTGACCAAGGAGGTGAATTTGCAAGCCAGGAGCTAAGTGACTACTTCGTCGACCAACGGATTGAGCAGCAGTTTACCTACGCACTCTTTTCAAGAGAACGGCATTGTGGAGCGTGCTAACGGAGTGGCTCTACCAAGGATCAGAGCGATGCTGATGGCTACACACATGCCCAGCTCCTTGTGGGGAGAAGCCTTTCTGCATGTGGTGACGACGTTGAACCGGTTGCCCACCAAGCCCTTAGGATTGGTGTCCCCGCACCAGAAACTGTACGAAGCGGAGCCTATGCTGGATGACTTGTGTACTTGGGGCTGTCTAGCACACGTGCGTGTTCCCCCTCAGTCAAGACAAACGAAAGAAAAGCTGGAAGCAAGGGCAAGACTGTGTTTATTACTGGGTTACAGTGAATTGATCCTAGGCTACAAGTTCATTGACCTGGCGACCGCTCAAGTGGTGACAGCTCGTAGTGGGAATGTGAAGTTCCATGAAGAGTTCACGACTGATGGCATCTACATGAAGCATCTATTAGAGAACGCATTCTTTGATGGTGATCATACTGTACTCGAGACTTTACCTGTGGCGCGCATCAAGACCAACATGGAGACGTACCATCCAGGTTGAAGTGACAATATATCTAGTGCAGAGAAGACACTTGAGGCGGTACCACTTGCAGATGAACCTGCGGAAACTGAGTTAAGCTCGAGTGGGAGTTTGTCAATCGTTGACGCACCTGTGAGCAAGGACAGTGCGGAGACTGCTGGTGTTGCAGTACCAGCCGTGTTGCAGGATCCTGCTGAAGAGGCCAAGGAAGGCTCGGAAGCGAGGAAGCGCAAGAGACGCAGAACAAAGAAGAAATCTGCAACGGTGGAGAAGGAAACAAGTGGCTTCGAGACACAAATTCCATCAAGGGAGTCCTGCCTAAAGCGACCAAGAAGGAAGCAGAAGGTGAACGCTCGATTGTCGGATCTCGTGGTAGGCCTAGTGCAGGCTATGACTACGGATGTGCAAATTCCGACGACGTACAAACAAGCGCGTGCAAGCAAGTACTGGCAGCAGTGAAGAGCTGCAATGTTGGTGGAACTTCAATCGTTGAAAGGTCACAAGACCTGGAAACTTGTACCCCGTAAAGATGCCAAGAAAGTGCATGTAATGACGTGTAGGTGGGTCTTTGCTGTGAAGCGAGACGAGCGTGGACGGATCAAACGATTCAAAGCGCGACTAGTGATCCATGGATTCAAACAACAAATTGGGATTAACTACTCTGAGACCTATGCACCTGTGATCCGGTTCGAAACCATACGTGCGGCTATCTACTACGCTGTACGAAGAGGTTGGGAGGTGTTGCAATTTGACGTGAAGACGGCTTTTCTGTATGGAGACTTGGACGAGACTATCTTCATGAAGCAGCCTCCTGGCTTCCAGGTGGATGGACCTGGATTCATTTGTAGATTGTTGAAGAGCCTGTACGGACCGAAGCAAGCACCGAACGTTTGGAATTGCACGCTTCATGCGAATCTAGTTGCGATGGGCTTTACCAGGACGGACTCTGACTATGGCCTATATGCATTGAGGAAGGATGGTGAAGTCAAGTTGCTACTGACTGTTTACGTGGACGATCTACTGCTGATGGGATCACGTGACCTGTGGGCCACGATCGCTGCCTTACTGCAAGAGACATTCGAGCTCACGACGATGGGCACAGTCAAATATCTCTTAGGCGTCGAGATCCTGATTGATTGGCCGCGCCGGCAAATAGTGTACTGCCAGAAGCAGTACGTACTGGTGTTGAAGCGTTTTCATATGGAGAGCTGTAATGGCTGCGCTACACCAGAAGCTACAACACCCTCGAAGACAGATGTGCCTGCTTCGAAGGAGTATCTTCCCTACAGAGAGCTGGTGGGTGCTCTCCAGTACCTCGTTATGCATCAAGACCTGACATAGCTCATGTTACCCGACACCTGGGCAAGTATCTTGCGAGCTACGATCATGTGCACTTCGCACAAGCCAAGAGGGTGCTGCGTTACCTGAAGGCTACATGTGACTATAGACTAGTGATGAATGTAAAGCTACAGACTGATGTGCAAGTTAGTGGCTACTCCGATGCTGATTATGCGAACAACCCTGTGGATCGACGAGTATCAGTGGCTACAACACTATGCTGGACGACAACGTCATCTCCTACGCATCTCGAAAGCAAGAGATCAACGCACTCAGTACCTGTGAAGCGGAGTACGTAGCAATGGCAGAGGCGACCAAGGACTTGTTGTGGCTTGCTGGCCTATGCAAGGAGTTGAGCCGTAAGCATCCAGTACCTCAACTACTTGGAGACAATCAATGAGCCATTGCCTTAGCTGCGAAACCTGGCAAACATTCGAAATCGACATGATCAGACGTCACGTGAAGTTGAAGCAACTTACAACCCAACACATCGGAACTGATGATATGGTAGCCGATAGCATGACAAAGGCACTTGCAGTGGTGAAATTCACACACTTTCGCAAGGCTATGAAGGTATTACCTATTGTGTCAAGCGATGACAACGAATCCGATGACATGGCTACAACTACGAGTACTGCTACTGCGTTGACTACTGCTGTTGATGCGGAGGCTGTACCTGAGCGACATTGATGAAGACGAGGGCGATCGAGTGGGAGTGCTGTTACTGAGTGGACTGCTATTGCTTATGAGCTTTGACTACGCTACTACTAGGCCTATGACGGCAACAAGGATGCGCGTGTGTGATCGCGTCGACTTCGAAGTGCGTTGCCGAGATCAAGTGGGCGTGTGAGCTGTAAACTAACCTGCGTGTCGAGCGCCAGTGCATTGCAGTCTGCCAGTGTCCGATGCCCCCATCTACGAGCCACCGTCCACTGCCAGTGTCTGCAAAGACACATCCCAAGGACACTCATGCGCCTGGCAGTGCAGCTTGCGGCAGCACTACAACCGGCTACACTGAGTAGACATGCGTGCAATGGCGAAGGACTATGCCAAGGACTGTATGCACAAGGACATCGTTGGCCGTGCACTGTCAAGATGGTGTACTCAAACGAGAGTGCACTTATCTAGAGTTTAGTATTGACCTATTTGCTATTTGTATACTAATCTACTTTTTGCGGTACAGCGGTGTTCTGGCGGAGGCTGCTCCTCACTTTGCGATTTGACGCCTGCCGCTCACCCGAGAGCAGCAGAGAAGAGCAGCCTCTCCAGACACCGCAGTCCTGTCGCGGCTTTTTGCCTGGCACTTACGTGTTTACGTTCTTTCCTGATTACTTCTCTAAAGTTGAAACTTAAGTGTATTTACATTTAAATGGCTCCTACTCTAAGAAGCGATCGACACATGGAGAACAATCCCCCCGTGACGAACCCTACGTCACCACTGTTAGATGCTCAATCAGATTGCTGTTACCCGTACCCGGGGTTTGCTTGTGCGCCGTGTCGCACAAATTACAGCGAAATAGCCCGTCACCAAGGCTCTCGAAGAAGTAAGCAGCAATATTCTTGTTCATCGTAGGATCGGGCGCGTGTTTGTAGATCTAGGTAAAATGGAAAATGAGAGACTCGGAATGAAAGTTAGCTAATGTGGCCAGCGCGTTACTGTGACTGGGGTCACACAGCACCTTGCGCTAGAGGAAGTTATCTACCGAGAGTATACAAACTCTCAGTGAACGGCAGTTCACAGGTCCCCTCTTTATTTAAAGAGGGCGAAGTGACCTAAATAAGGTAGATTGTAAACTGAGTATATTTATAGGTAGGTTAAGTATGGGTTAAATACAAACTTTAAGTTACCTATAGAAATGCAATGTCGTTTGACCAATGGTTGGCTTTGAGCGACCTTGGTACCTTGTACCAAATATCCCATAGTATGACGTGTCATGCTCCTGAAGTGTGAAGTGTCGCACTTCATGTAACCAGGGTACACTTAGGGCTACGTACCCCGTTACAGTTACGGTCAGCAATATGCGGTCATACCTATTTCCAACCAGTTACACCTAACCGGGGTATTTATTGCAGTTATTGATTGTATTCTGCATTGTAATGCTTTAAAAAAAGGCAATAATTTTTTTTTCCATGAAAACACCGTAGTTAAGTTACGGACATTATTTTTTTCAGTCTATGGCATGCCATGGCACGAAAATGATTGGATTAACGTTTGCTAGGGCTAGAGTTTAAAGTATATGAAATGGCAGTAAGTGCCACGGATGGCTGCTGCAATTGCCATGTGCCATGCTACTTTTATCTTCATGAATGTGTGTTCTAGAAAATGTTTTTTAAAGATGGCACAATGGCAGAGCGTTTCTATTTTTCACCGCGCCATGCCATGGTTCAATTTCTAGTGCCATCGCATGCACGCGTGGCAGTGGTTTTACTTTTTATATATTCCGCGCCAGAATATCTTGTGCCTGCTTTTTGTATGCCGTTTTTTATTGCACTCCTGCTGAATCAATGGGTGCGAGCACCCTCCATTTGCTTTTTCCAAATTTTAGACGAAATTATCGCCCGAAAAATAAAAAAAAATCAGTCGTGACAAAAACTAACAAACTGGAAAAATGGCATTGTTCAAGTTATCCAATAGCAAAAAAGAGTTGCATTGCAGCAACTCTCCAAGTCCCGACCCGAACCATCGTTTACTTCTCCAAACGTGGCTTTTTCGATGCAGTGCTGGCAATTGTCTCCTCATAGCAGTCCATCAGAGTATCCAGCTCTTTCTTTTGCAGCAGCAACAAGTGCTGATGCTCTGAGAACCATGACTTTGTTTTTGTGATAGTCACGAAAGCAATACCATTTTGTACAGAAGCTTCCATAACAAATGAAGCCTTCACTTGGTATTTGTGTGAGCATTTCGCAGCGTAGTTCCGGGCACCTTGAAGCGTCTTGAAAGTCACCACGTCCTTGGTAACCATTGAACTGTCGGGGCCTCGTAAGAACTCCTGCACCTTGGCATTTACAGCAAACTCGGCCTCAGGCATTTCCCACGAGAAAGGCTTGTCGAGTCCTTGGATTTTATCTTGCAGCCACGCGATGCGTTTGGATGCAATCGATACCAGGACAGCAAACATATCGCTCGAGTGATTTGCATTGTCCAAATGTGGTGAAGCGTCTTCAATGACTTGGCCCAGACGACTGGGATCTGCAGTCTTGAAAACTTTTGCCACAGCATCAAAGTCGACGTTTTCAAACGCGAGACCAAATTTCCACAGGAATCCGACAGCTCCCGGTACGTTTAACAGCTCATCATTAAGTTCCGCTACGTTCTCAACCGCTCGTTGCAGTAGAGCATTCCGAGCGGGTGCGTTGGTCACAGTGTCGGCGACGCGAAGTGCCATCAGCATGGAATCATTATTACTAAGCGCATCCAGTGAGTTTAGAAAAGCTTCACCAACTTCTTTCCACTCAAACGCCTGCAAAAGCTTGGCAACGGCAGGAGCCATGGCCGTCTTCTCACTCAGAAGAGAACTTATTTTTGTGAAAATCTCGCTAATGAACAGCTGGACCAGTCCCACGTCACGAGCTTCCACCAGCAGCTGACATAGCTCTTGACACAGCTCGGGAGCTATCAGCTGAGGCCCAATCTTTGCCTTCAGCTCCGATTGAAGCGCTTCCATTAACCGACGGAGCGCTTCGACACCACCCGACTTCTGACTGTGCAAAATGTGAATCGCAGCTTGTGAATTGATACACTCCAGTGTCTTTTCCACTGCCTTCTCCCCAGGCCACGCAATGACCGCATACCGAGAGTACGTTGTTTCCATCGTAGGACCGTCGTTTCCTGTGTACTCCTCCATTTCGCAGCTGCCGTGCGTCCTCCACAACTCGTAGTAGTTTTCGCTCCCTGGATTCAAGAAATTTATCTTCGTTGTCGATTTTGTGGTCCCAAATCGCTGTCCAGTCGTAGAGTACCACGTAGTCGTATCCTCTCGTCTGTAAATGTCCCAATGCCCTGGTTCGTACCCGTCAATTGAGTAATACTGAATCTCATGCTTCATTTCAGCGATAAAAAACTGAAGCTTCTTGTCGGCAGAGACAATGGAGTTTGCGTCTTCAAGTGCTGCGTACCTCGATCGATCGATACCTTTCAAAGCACCAGAGCCTAAGCCTCTAATACTCTTCTCCGTATACTCGTGCGATAGCAGCAGCGCAAAAGACTCCTCGAGCCCCAATTTGCTGTAGGCTTCAGCGAGTTCGTCACTCAAAAGCTTGTCGCTATTCTTCTTCATATGCTGCATGTGCAGTGGCAAGCAAATTGAGTATACGAGCACAAGGCGAACCCCTTTCGTCACCTTCTCCAAAGCATGTTCTGCGTCGGCATAGTGAACCGCGTAGTGGGGAAGGAAACCAGAAGTGCCCTCCTTTTTGCCGAAATCATGGCGATATTTTACTTCCCCACCTCGATAAATTACCAAGTCGCCTCCTTCATGAGTGCTGGGAAGTTGGACCACCAAAGTCGCCACCATTCCATCCTCCTTCTCTGTATCTTGATGCTTGAGGAAGTGGCCGTCTTCCCCATAAATCAGCATCTTGTAAAGAGTACTTTGCATCGGGATCGAGGTGTAGCCCAAACGTTCTGCAATGTTTTTGGTAAGTTTGTCGATTCCAATCTGCCACTGCGTATTCGTGAACTGAACTTGGTCTGGTGAGAGCTGCCAGCTCTTGCGAACATTCTCATCCAATTTGGTGTCAAAATTGTGACCAAACGGAGATTTTTCGGCTTTTGCAATGAGTTTCTCAGCGTTTTCTTCTGTTAGAGGAACGGAGATCGCCCCCACTCCTTCGACAACGAGTCCAGGAATTGCAGGCAACGTGTCTGCCAACCCACCAAACGTATATTCTCCAGCTAAGGTACTTGCTCGAGCCAGAACTGTGTTAATTTCCAGGCAGCCCGAGCCTACGGGGGCCGGAACGTCAACAGACTTGCCCTTCCCTCCAAAAGGCCATTTACGCTGGACAGGGCCTAACTCCTCGTCCTCGTCGGAATACTCCATATCGTCGTCACTGCTGGACATACTTGCTTGGGGGTGCAGATTCGAAATGACTTTGACGGGTAACTACACAGAAGAAGTCACGATGGATGGTTCTCGATGGATGGAAGCACTAGTATTCAAAATGAAAGGTATTTATCAACGAATAGTTTACAGAATCCTATAATTCTAATTGGCTGAAGATAATTGACTTTTAACCATTGAATGCCAACCGTCCACCAAATGTAGCCATTTGTGCGACTTCGATTGATTTCCGACCAAATTTGCCGCTTTGGTAGTGAGTCACTCAATTACAAATGTCCTGCTATTTCAAACGGCCCATATCGTACTTAAGTAGTCGCATTTCGTACTTCAGTGGATTATCTTTTAAGGCAAGTCTATTTGCACTATTGCATGCGCACGGAAATTTGGAGAAGAGCGCAAAATATATGCATCGCGTCCAAATACTTCGCATCAATTAGCTTGAAAAAAATAACACTGGTGTTGACAATTTGTTCACAGTCTGCCACTTCAACCACTTCAACCAGGCAATACATGTACCTACTCATGTGTAATGGCTCTGTGCAGGCAACATGGAACGAGCACGCGTCAGCACTTGCACTCGTTGCCGTGCTGCTTGGAGTCAATGCCGGGTGCGATTTCCGCAAGTGCATCAGATTAACAGCAGACGCAATCAAAGAAGAAACGCGGTGCGACCTGAGCATGACTCAAACACCAGTTTCGCAATGAAGCCATCTCTGACTGCGACCGTCAAAAGAGAGGAGGACGCTTTTGAGGTGGGCGCTGTACAGGTATTTGTCTCGCTGTGGTTTGTCGCCACAATTGTCGATGAGTGTACAGTACTGAGACCTGTACTTCGTATCTACAGAATTTTTGTAAGAGAAGATAAATTTACAAGTAACTTTACTTGAATTGTGGATTCTTTTTCCTTACTTAAAAAAAGCTAAAATTGGGGCAAATACAAAATTTGAGTTAAAACCGCTTAAGTACGAAAAACGTGAATAGGAATAGCATTCTCACTTGTCGACGAAACGCTTAAGTACGAAAAACGTGAATAGGAATAGCATTCTCACTTGTCGACGAAACGCGAGTACCAGCAGATTTGCTGCGTCTGGCACGCGTTTTTTTTCGACGTTTTTTAAATGCATAAGAGGGTCAACTTTCTACCAATCACAGGAGCATTCTGCTGCTTTTCGACCAGTCGTTCAGCTTTCTCGTCGATGCAAGGGTCGTCACCGCCAAGCACTTCAATGCGCCCACAGAATTCATGCTCTTTTTCTGTCAAAACCTTGTTAAACCCGTCATTTTCGTTTTATTGGGGTACCAATTCTTAAAGTGCTTTAGCTATGTGGTCCATAATGCAGATCCATCAAGTTCTGCAGCAGTATCATGCGCTATGCACGCGACCGACAGTGCTCATCATCCGCAGAAGAGTCTAGCTCGCTTGCTCATTCCCCAACACTTCACTCGAGCCACACGCGTATTGTCCGCCCCATAGTGATCACGTCCAATAGCCATCAGCTCAATGCACCCGTCGCTGAACCTCGAGGCGTTGTGGCCATCGCCGCCTAGATGCGCGTTGCCTCCGCGCCGCAGTCGCAGCCTGCGTTCCACCCTAGCTCGCGCTGTATTCCCGCGCGTAATGGAGTTCAAGGTCATCTCGCGTGAGAGCGAGAAGCACGAATTTATGCCTGTCGTGTACCTCATTGACCGGTCTCCTGCTTGGCGCCGCCGCGTGCCGTCGTTCGTGGAAACAGCAATCGTAGAGGACTATATCACGCCACTCGTAGCCCGGGTCCCCGACTCTGCTGATGCCACGGAAATGACCCGAATCCTAACAAACGTACGCAAGGAGATGGAGAATCGCGCCAACCTCATTGATGAGACGCATTTGGACGGCGTCAGTACCGATGAAACAGACTACAAGATGGGAGTGTTTGTGGACTTTGCCCCCACACCGAGCAACCCAGGCAAGGCGCCACTAAATCGCGTTGTATTCCAGATCGCCACTGCCTTACGATCAGCTTCCTACAGACGTGCACTCGTAGTGCCCGTGGCAGTACACTACTGCTCAGCCGCTTCTTTCCTGGACGTACGACGATACACAGGCATCCGCTATGGCGCCCCCGTGTTGCTCGAGGAGCGCGAAGTTGCGATCTTTGGAGAAGATCCGACCGAGCTCACGCAGCATTTCAGCGCGCGTCTACGGGCGTCACTCACCATGCCTCCACCTCCATCCGTCGCACAGATCGAGATGTTACGCTTAACACGCACACTGCATGTATACTGCGCCAAGGTCGTACGCGACGACTGCTTCTCGCGAAGACAGCGCGCCTCCATGAACGAGGAAATCATGCAGATCCACTTTCGTACATCGAATCATCCAGATATGCACGAACTGAAACGCAAGATGATGAAGTATTGCGCCACACTGAAGCACTGGAAGCTTCGGGATGAGGATATTAATTCAGCCAGCGTGTTGCTAGCCGTCGAGGATTTGCCAAAGCACCCATTGCATTTCGTGTGGCTTCTGGCTGCTGCGCTGCGCTTTGCATTCAAACTACCAGGCCGGCTCTTCCTGGCGAGCGCATGTGACCTCCTTTATCGTTTTCCACCGCGTAAATCACACAACCGATCGCTGCCATTGGGTGCAGCAGCAGTTAAAGCGGCACTGGGCTGTCTGGCGCTTGGTGTATTGGTCCGTGTAGTTCCATCGAGCTCGTTTGGATGGTTATTTGCTCTGCTGGTAGCAGTTGTGCTTATGGTGGACGCAGCTACAGCGCACACGGCCGCAGCGGATGTACAGCACTTGACACAACACTGGAAGAAGCCCCAGTTCTACGTTATGGATGCTGAAGAGTGGACGCGACTTAAGGAGACTCGTGCTGTATTGGCGCGTAGTATCCACGACATTGTTGCACGCTACATGTGCACCAATCTCCCTCCGCCAGTATTGCAGGATGCGTCGAAGTCCGCAGCTTCCCCGACTTCCGCTCTGCTGGACAACGACGAATACACGCTGAACGCGCACCACAAAATATTTATTAACGCGCCGCGCTCATTCCCGCTGTCCTTTGCAGCTAAGCTGAAGCATCCCGAGACAGCTCGTCGAGTCGTATACGCGTCAAAGATGTTACGCGATGAAACGTGGCGTAACATTTACGAAACTTTAGCGCCTGGACATCTGCGTTTCCGTGTACTTCTGGCAGACAACAAGGGCGATAATCTCCCTATGGACGAGCTACTTGCTACTCCTTTCTTCGGCGCTGTGCTCTCTGCTTATATCATCTACAAGACGCGGTACCCGGACGGTGTCAGCTCGACTTCGAGTTCTAGCGGCGATGATAGTGGTCACGTGATCTCTGACGAAGTGCAGGCTCGTTTAAGTCTAACGGAACAGGGTGTGGACGAGCAAGAACTTGGAGGATACGACTCGATCCAGGAAATTATTAATGTAGCTCTGCAGATGGCGCAGGATGAAGAGGAACTGACTGAGTAAGATGAATGGGAAACGGTGTACGAAATACAAAATTGACTGTTAAAATGTAGATTTTAGAGTGGTTGAAGAAGTGAAATGTATGTGCTACAGTCTTCCCTGGTTTGGTCCAGGAATCGCTGGTTGTCTCGCACTCTGCCTGGGCGAGTTCGCCGCCTCTGATATCAGCAGCTTATCGATAGTGTCTCCGGTTCGGTTGTCGGCATGTAGTGGCAGCTTCGCAACGCCGAAGATGTCGAATTGATCTCGCAACTTGGCTTCCTCGGCTTCAAACACGCGGACGCGATGAAAATTACCGCGGGAAATCTACAGTAGAAACAGTTAAAGTGCTATCTGAGTATGCAAGATACTCTATGAGCCGTACCTGTCCTTTGTAGCTGCTCGAGTAAGCAGCAACGTCCTGGAAAGCGCTGGAGCCGCAAATGAACCCTTCATCATCACTCTTTCCCCAGTCACTTCTCCTCGCCGAACGAAGAGGACTGGCGATGGGTTGGACCTGGCCATTGATGGAGAGCTCGCTTTGGCTGCGTGCCACTTGAGCCGCTTGAAACTCGTGCACCTTGCGCTGCATCAAGTCTCCCAGGCGATCCACAAGACCCATGTCGGTACAGCATTCATACACCAAATTCAACTTTGAGTTCTACAACAAGTTACAAAGTTGCTGTCAGTTGCAATGCGTCCCCAAGAAAATAACAATGACTAAAACGCTTACCAGTCCATAGATCTCGCGTTGAAGCTTGTCGTTTTGAGCTTTCAGTTCCTCCATTTTAACTCGACTTTCCATTGCCTAACAAGTCGATTCTGCAGTTATAAGCAACTGCATGTCCACAATGAACTGAAATATACCTCACCTCACGCATCCATTGCGCATACTTTCTCCCATCGGCACCACATTCGCCTGCTTGACTCCGCGGTGAGTACATTGCGCTTTACGATCAGAAATCCAAAAACAGGTTACTGCAAAGAGAATTGATGACCCTCGTCCTCTATGCATAATATGGAAATATGCATTGCATATTTCCTTGCTTTTTAAATATAGGCAATTGAGGAACAAAGGAATCTAAAGTCGGAGATACTTTCACCAAAATTCAATAGATTGAAAAATTGCAATTAGAGTTCCTGGCGTTGAACAGCACGGTCGATCGATATCGTCTGAGAGTACGGGTCGTAACGAGCCTGGAACGGCTTCTTTAAATCTTCGCAGAACCCACGCATCTTCTCCTTCGCGTCGAACTGGGAAAAAATATATTAAAATCCAAGTCAGCACTTCGATACGTAAGTAGATCACTTCCTAAGCAGATATTCATATCCTTACCAAGCTGTCAGCGACATAATAAACGGGTTGGTAGGTTGTGATGGGGTATTTCTGCTTACAGGCCGAGAACGGGTCCCAAGGCCGGTACTCGGGCATGTCACTGCCCGCAGGACGGTCTGCTGCGCAGGCGTACTCCATCTCGCCGAAGCTTGACAGCAGTCCAGCTCCGTAGGCCTACGGTAGAAGACAACACAAATACCAATAAATAACTTGTCGATACAACAAGCCCAAACTGCATCAAGCCACGCACCTTGTATTCTCCACGCTGCTTTGTGATTCCGAACTCCACAGAGAACCAGTAGCACTGCACAAAAGCCGTTAGCGTATCAGGGAGGCAGCTGGATCGAAGCAATATGTAGCGTACCGTGGCAAGACGCTCGATTTCTTCATCTGATGCCCCAAGGGAGGCAAGCCCAACTTCGTGGGAGAAGTCCGCAAAGTCGGGGTCCTGTAAAACACCCAACAAATACACCCGTTAACCACCTCTTCTGAAGCGTATAAAAGCAAATCAAAGACAACTTACAGCAAACATTGGGGCGTGACCCATCAGCTCGTGGCAAATGTCCGGCTCCGGTGTGTACAGCGGCATCGAGTGGTGGCGAATGTACTATAATCCCATAAAAATTGTCGGTTTATCACAGTGAAGCTTGATGATACAACGTAGCAGCTCTCACCTGCGTCGAGAAGAACACACGGAACGCAAGTCCATTCAGGAAATCACGAGACGAAAGTAGGCCACCGACCGGGCGAAGAGTGAAGCCAGTGCACTCCTTGAGGAAGTTGGAAATGTCCTCTTGTTGCGGGATGTTGTCCTCGGCGTAGCCGCAGTTGCTCTCGAGAAGCGGGATAATGTAGTTGAACTCATCGCATGCATGTTGCTTCCACATTTCCTTCATGCGCTTATAGATGACTCCCCATGTATTGATCTGTTGCAGTCACATCGAGTCATTAGTTCACTCTTCAACTTTCAATAAAGATAGTACTGGTAACTTCAGCGCACCTCATCTTGCGTGTAGTCGAGACGAGGAATGGGGTCTCCTTGACGGTAGTTCTGAGCGATCTCTGCGAACATGTTGCGACGTCTACGGTACTCTTGGTCCTACGCAACACAATACGAGTCAGCTAAACGCAAGGTGCATGTATTCCGGTGGTTCACGTCACGTACACTGAAGCCCGGGTGGTCCGACTCCAGGTCGGTTCCAGCGTCCAGGATGTTGGCCACCGAGCGGTCCAGCTCGTTTATCTTACGCGGGAACCACGGTACTATTCACATCAATCAGCACGGTAAGCTCGGAGTCCACAGTGCCAACAGGTCCGCATAGCTCACCCTTCTTGTCGTTGAGCACCATAACATCAAGGCAATTCTTCTCGAGGTCGGTCATGAGATCATCCACCTTGTTTTGACCGCTCTTTCCCTCGAAGTCGATGAAGAAGCTGTAGTTCATGTTGTGGCCCTTGGCGGGACGCGACTCGATGCGTGTCATGTTGACGTCGTGCTTCCAGAAGAACTTAAGCGTCTCCTGCAATGCGCCCGGGCCGTCCTCCACCTGCAACAGGATGGACGTTTTATTGTTTTCGCGGGGCGCACTGAAGCACCGCACCCCATTCTGCAGCAGTGAAGCCACGAGTGGAGCGCGGGCATTGGTAGGACGGATCTGTGAAATTTGAGCAATAGAAACTTGAGCGTCTAGCTGCTTATTGGCAAAGAAAATTACTGATACGCACACCATGAGTGAGGAAAGAGGTGCGAGGTAGAGAGAGAAGCGAGCGCAGCATCGTGGCGAGAAGGTGTTGGCAACGCGTCAAGTTGGTAAATGACGCCTGTCAAGCATTGAAGTAATTTTGATTAGACGCTGGTGTATCGATTCGACGCAGGAGCAAAGCCTACACTACTGAGGCGTCTCATCGATGTGAACCTATAATGCCTAGTGCTTTCTTCTAGGTCGACCAGAGGCTCAATAACAAAACACAGTGTAGCAGCCCGGAGGCTCTAGTTTCAGTCCTTAAGGCTGATTCTACGTTTTGATTGGTTCATACAATTTATTAATCTATGATGGCTGCTAATGTTTCGGCTTTTAAAGGTTTTAGAATCTTCTCCCCATAGTGAAAGAAGCGAACGGCAGGTCAATATGAAGCTCACGGTCAAGACGCTGCAGGGCGTCGCCTTCCCCTTAGACGCAGAGCTCACGGACGCGGTAAGCAAGTGGTCTATCTTCTCCTTCTCGCATCTGTCCATGTCTCTACCCGTCTCCGACTAGAGAGAAAAGGATCTCCATCGATCACTGACCAACATATTTCTCTTCTCTGCAGGTTTCCGCTGTAAAGCAGAAGATCAAGGAGCTGCAGAAGTTCCCCGTCTCTCAGCAGAAGCTCATCCACGCAGGAAAAGTGCTCAAGGACGACAGCACATTGGCGGAGTACAATGTCAAGGAGAATGACTTCCTGGTTGTGATGGTCACCAAGCCCAAGGCGGCAAAGCCCTCAGCTGCTGCCCCCGCCGCAGCTCCGACGTCAACTCCCGCCGCTGCGGCCGCGGCTGCTTCCCCTGTCGCTGCGGCTCCCGCTTCGGCTGCCCCCAACACGTCTTCAGCCTCCAGTAGCACTTCTCCGGCTGTATCCACCCCGTCAGCGGCTCCAGCCACGACTGCAGCCAGCTCGTCATCAGGAGAAGGCAGTAATGTCGTGTCCGACGAACAGATGAGCGCCACAGTGCAGCAACTCGTAGACATGGGCTTCCCGGAGGATCAAGTGCGAAGTGCGCTGCGTGCGGCATTCAACAACCCGGAGCGTGCAGTGGAGTACTTGATGACGGGTATTCCCGAGCAGGCTGCAGCGCCCGCACAGACGGCTGTTCCTTCGTCTGGAGCTAGCGCTGGCAGCGACGACGTGGCCAACTCTCTGGAGGCTCTTCGTAACCACCCACAGTTCGATGCTCTGCGTCAGCTCGTGCAGTCCAACCCGGCGGCTTTGCCGGCGGTACTTCAACAGATCGGCGCTCAGAGTCCCGAGCTACTGCGTCTGATCCATCAGAACCAGGATCGCTTCGTGCAGATGCTGAACGAGCCCATTGGCACCCGTGAAGCTGGATCGGCCCCCAGCAGCGGCTCTGGCGCTGGCGCAGCACCGTTCGACCTGGGAATGGGAGGAAATGGCGCGATGCCGACTCCGCAGCAGATTCAGCAGTTAGTGGACTCGCTCACACCAGAGCAACAGGCTCAGATGGCTGCGCAAATGGGAATGAGCCCGGAGCAGCTTCGTGGGCTTTCTCAGATGCTAAGCAACTTGCCTCCAGGAGCGATGGAGCAGATGATGGCGTCTATGGGCGGCGGTGCCGGTCTTGAAGGAATTGGAGGAGGCGCCGGTGCTGGCGCTGGCGGCCACCGTATCATGCTGTCCGAAGAGGAAGCGGCAGCCGTGGACCGACTGTGCGAGATGGGCTTCGAGCGCACGGATGTGATTCAGGCGTATCTCGCATGTGACAAGAACGAGGCGTTGGCGGCCAACTTCCTCATGGATAGCGGAGACAACTTTGGTGGAGGCGCTGCTGGTGGCGCAGGAGGTCAGGGCGACGACAACGAAGACATTTACGGCTAAATATCATACACGTGAGCGAGCGAGCTGGCTGGCTAAGTGCGCGACACTTGCTCTTGCTTTGTAGTTCGTACGTCGAGCATGTTGTGGTCAGGACCTAGAAGCACAGGGCTGACACAGATTGCTGCGAGGCCAAAATGCTGATGGAGATTTTTGGCACAATGACGTGTTGAATTTTCTGTTGTATCTTAGCATTGGAGTTGCCTACGTTGGCTTCGCTCTCCTTGAAGTCCGCAATACTGCGTAGTAGTAGGTGCAAAGTAAAAATATCGTGCTCTTTTGCTGCTAAAACTTCCTTGCCAAATTTGGTTTCGGTCTGGATCGTACAGGCGTGACTTGGAGAAGTTGTTGCAGCACAGTGTTAGTCATGGGCGAAGAAGTCGAGAAACATGTGCTGCGCAAGTACGAGCTGCTGCAGAAGTTAGGCAAAGGCGTAAGTGTATTCGTATACTTTTAAGGGTATTGTGCTTTAGAGTCTAATGGTTGTGGTGGCCTGTGCAGGCGTATGGCATTGTGTGGAAGGCCATCGACAAGAACAATCGGCAGGTAGTGGCTTTGAAAAAGTGTTTCGACGCATTCCGCAATGCGACAGATGCGCAGCGCACATTTCGCGAAGTCATGTACTTGCAAGAGCTGAACGGACACAGCAACATTATCCGCTTGCTGAATGTCGTCAAAGCTGACAACGACCGCGATATCTACCTCGTGTTCGACTTTATGGGTGCGTTAACTATGAGAGACTTTCAGCCATTTTGGCTGTTGACATCTCATACGTCGCTGTTGCTTTAGAAACGGACTTGCATGCTGTTATACGAGCCAATATCTTAGAGGAGATCCACAAGAAGTATATCATCTACCAGTTGTTGAAGTCGCTTAAGTACATGCATACAGCCGAGCTGCTGCACCGCGACATCAAGCCGAGCAATCTACTTCTTAACTCAGACTGCCACACCAAACTCTGCGACTTTGGACTTTGCCGTTCCGTGGCCGAGATCAGCGGACCCAATCCAGTTCTCACAGATTACGTCGCTACCCGATGGTACCGTGCTCCAGAAATTTTGCTGGGCTCGACAAAGTACGCCAAGTCAGTGGATATGTGGGCTGTCGGCTGTATCGTGGCAGAAATGGCCACTGGACGACCTTCTTTCCCAGGCACATCGACCATGAATCAACTTGAGCGTATCCTGGATGTCACCGGCCCACCGTCTCAAGACGATATTGAAAGTATCAAGTCACCGTTCGCCAATACGATGCTGGAAAGTCTGCCTGCACCAAAGAAGAAAGCGTTGGAGGAACTCTTTCCCAAGGCCTCGCCAGATGCACTCGATCTTATCAAACAATGCTTCTGGGTACGCTGAGAATTTATGCTATGCCTAACAGGCTACCACGAGTCTAATATCTTTCTTTGTTTAGTTCGATCCGTCCAAGAGGATCTCGGTCATCGACGCGTTGAAACACCCGTACGTGGCACAGTTCCATAACGAGAAGGACGAGCCCAGTGCTCCAGCTCCTTTGCAGATAGTAGTTGATGACAATACCAAATATTCCGCCGCTGACTATCGCGACCGCCTCTACCGTGAGATCATCAAGAAGAAGAAAGAGGTCCGACGGAAAGCAGGCGAACAGGAGACGGCCGCTGTGGCTGGTACAACCACCACGCAGTAGCAGACTGCAACTATTAAAACGCAGTAGCATCATTAAGATACAGCGGGTGCAGGAAATGGTTATTCACTAGGATAAATTTCATGATCAGTAATTCAACATTTTGAATCGTAGCTTTGTTTTTTAAACTTACACTCAAACAACTGAAGGCGTCACAAAACCCATCTATACTTCGGTCACTCGAGAACGGGGACTAGTAGCTCGCTGACTCACATTACTCACTAGCACATGCACTCCAACGTCTTCGTCGGAGAATCCTTCTTCGCTTTCGTCTTCAATCTGGTTCACTTCTTCATCGTCACTGACTTGCGTGATCATTTCGTGCTCCTGCTTTCCGTTCCTCTTATTGCGAATGCAAACAATGGTCACACACACTGCCAACACACTGCTGACAACAGCGATGACCAGCGCCACCCAGAGCCATGCAATGCCGATGTGCACCTGACTGCTATTGGCACCAGTTTGGTCGCGAGTGGACAACGAGGTATCTGGATCCGCGCTCACTGACGGAGAATAGCAGAAGGAAACCTCCATGTCAGTCGCGTTCAAACGTGTAGTCACAACCGTTTGTACTTTGTCGTTGAACTCGAGTCTGTTGACAAAGCGACGCAATATGTCTGCAGCGACATCGGGTACATCCATGGGCACCATGTGGCCTGCTCCAGTGACCACTAAATAGGTCAGATTGCCTCCTTGTTGCGCGAAACCTGCAGGTTCCTTGCGACCTTGAACTCGCCACGTATACTTGTCAGCCTGTTGATAAGCATCCGAGCCATTCCAGTTCAGATTCAGCAATAGTTTCTCCGTTCCGTAGTGGTTGCACATCATATCCCATTGTCCATTGTAGAAAATCATCCGCAGACCTTGTTGAAGTAGCGATTCCACCTTATCCAGTGTACTCACACCGTCGAACTTTGACAAGGCACGGAATACGCCGTTGCTGCACAGATCGAAGCGGAAGTTCTTGTCTTCATTGCCGTGCACTGCTTTCCGTACTTCCATTTTATTCATATACTTGGCGATGTTGCTCTGCCCTGACGGGTACGATCCAACATTGCGCAAATACTGCCGCACATCGTAGAAATTGAGACTGTTACCTCCATTGCCCGGCTTGACACTGCCCGTGATAGAGTCCATATTATCCAAGCAGCTTCTCGAATAGTACGTCCCAGCATCCAGCGCAGCCAAGCACTCGGCATACGATGCCTTCAGCGATCGCACCTGGCCGAATGTCAGTAACCCAAGTCCGTGAGCGTAGTCGCTGTACTCGTACTGAATTCTCGGATGCACCCATCCATTGCCAATGCCAACACCGTCCAGATTGATCTTAATTTGGTTTTTAGGATCATTGTTCTGCTTCATAATATGATCTGAGAACTCGGGAATCCAGCGACCAGCGTGTGACTCACCGAACATGTACACAGCTCTCGAGTTACTAACTCCATCATCTCCATCTGACAAATATTTGTTATGCCGTTGCAGGAACTTGGTCAAGAACTCGTAAAAGTCCTGGGCTATTGTCTCCTCATCCAGTCGATAGTCATTCCCCTTAGTGTAGGACATACCTGTGCCTATCGGCTGGTCCACAAAGAGCAAGTTGGCGAACTCGTGCCAACTGTGTTCGTTCTTGCCAATGGTCGAGTCATCCTTTAACGTGAATGGTGAATTGCCCAGGAACAATCCCTGCATACTGGTACATCCAGGACCACCATTCAGCCTGTAAAAGCGTAAAAAGGTCAGCGATAAAGTAAAGTATCACCACGATGTGTCAAATAAACTGTACCAGATCACGAGCGGCGCCTTCTCCGGGTCCTGAGCTGCCTGGAAGTGCCAATAGAACATTTTGTTCTTATCATTGTCGTGCAATGCGATGCGCCCCGCGTGTTGCGTTACTTTGGCCGCCGGGTCCAGTCCAGGCAGGTTTTGAATGAGGTCATCTGACGCCTCTTGCTTTGGTTTCGGCTTGGCGGGCTCCCTCTTCGTGGCTAGAAAGCGATCTTCTTTTTCGTCGTCCTGGACTACAAGTTCCTGGACGCGCTGGCTGGTGGGGTGCAGCCGCTGTGCAGACGTCATGCTACCCGCCAAAGCGGCCGCGAGCACGTGTCGCGTCACCATCATGAGACTTTTGTGCGAAGGTAACCTTTCCTGACATTTCCATCATTTTTTGTCATATTTTGAAATTTCAAGTATCGTGGTGGTTAGTCCATGTACAGTACTGTATGTACACGTACCCGCGTCGGTGGCTGTAGCTCACTCAAATTTTAGAGTTAGAGCGTGCTGTTTAGATATGTTGTTCCTGCTATCACACCGAATAGGCTACATGTGCTAACGACTGCGATTTCGCAATACAATCAATTGATTTTGGCACTGCGACACATTACCATGCATGTCTTATTAATACCGGTAGCTTATTGAACTCAAGTACTATGTTTCAAAATGGTTTAGTCTACTGTAGTGCTGTAACGGGGTACGTAGCCCTAAGTGTACCCTGGTTACATGAAGTGTGACACTTCACACTTCAGGTGTATGACACGTCATACTCCAGGATATTTGGTAAAAGGTACCAAGGTCGGTTAAAGCCAACCATTGGTCAAACGACATTGCATTTCTATAGGTAACTTATAGTTTGTATTAAACCCAAACTTAACCGACCTTTAAATATACTCAGTTTACAATCTACCTTATTTAGGTCACTTCGCTCTCTTTAACTAAAGAGGGGACCAGTGAACTGCCGTTCACTGGGAGTTTGTATACTCTCGGAAGATAACTTCCTCTAGCGCAAGGTGCTGTGTGACCCCATCACACTTGGTAGCACTCGTAGTCAATCCATGCCACCGCGGGTAGACTACCTGAACCTCTCCGAAGTTCGTTGCCATGGATAGGAACGACTTCTCCCATATGAACGACTCTCAGTTCGAGTCGGTTCGGAAGATGACAGGCATCTTCGGGATGGAGGCCCTGCAGAGCCTGGTGGTGTCAACACCGGCTGAGCAGCTCGAGCGCGTCAATGCATTCGACGCGTACGAGCAGGGCCTCATCGCGCATGTGCGGGAGAACCTGCAGGCTCCGGCGGCGGAAGCAAATCCGCCTCACCCGAAGCCAATACGGCTGAAGGCTAAGCCGTATGAAGGGAAGGAAAGCGAGAACCTTCACTTTTGGGTCCGAGAAGTAGAGCTCGCGATGGACGCGGCTCTGATCTCGACCGAGCAACTGCGTGTTGCTTTTGCACTCTCCAACCTTAGCGGCCGTGCTAAGAGTGGGGTGTGCACACGGGAAGCAACATCCCCTGGATGTAACGGGGTTACATGGTGTGGAACACACAGGGGTACGAAGTACCCGGAGAGTTAACAAACTATCAGTACATAAGTTGGAGAGTTAACAAGATCTCTCAGTACGTTGGCTGAAAGCCACACGTTATGCATTTTATTAGGTTTAACTATGCTAGATAGTTAAAGAGATACATTTACCCCTAGGCGGCTTGGCCGCAATAATAGTAAATAAAAGGTTGACGCTGCATTTGCCACTTGGGATCAGCTGAAGCAACAGCTTTCGCGCGTGTTCGCGCCGCCTAATCAGGCGTACCGTGTCCGGTCAAAGTTTCTTGCTACCCGCCAGGGTAAGAAGGATTTATTGGACTATGTCCAAGAGTTGAGAACTCTTATCGCTGGAATGGCGGCGGACCCTCTTCCGGAACTGGTCAGCGTGACCGTGTTCATGGAGGGACTTCGTGTGAGCGCAGCTCGAACGGAAGTGTTCCGTGTACACCCTAACTCTTTTGAAGAGGCGGTGGATGTGGCATTGAATGCCGAGCACAACTTCAGGTCGGCGCGACCTGGTTGGAGCGCTGGTAGCGCAAGCTCTTCGAGCGGTCCAGAGCCGATGGACCTCAGCTATGCTGAAGATGAAGAAGCGGAGCTTCTTGCTGCGGAGCAGCGCGCCGGCATCCGCAGATGCTTTGTGTGCAATAGCACTAAGCACTTGAGGGCCTATTGCCCTCTGCGCAAGAAGCGCGAGGCTCCGGCGAGCCAACCCTCCAGGTCATCGCCGGGAAACGGCAACTCCCAGTAGGCGCGGGGCGGCCTACTGGGGAAGAACTGAGTTCTGTTGTGCCTCGAAGAGGTAGAGGGCAACGGGGCTCAGCCCCGAAGAGAGCTGATCTCTCTTACGAGAAAATTGTGTGCAAGCCGGGCTTGCTGGTCGTTCAAGCGAACGTGAAGGGCTTTGCAAAGCCATGAAGAGTCTTGATTGACTCGGGAGCCTCGGGCAACTACGCCCGTCGCTCCACCCTGGAAGGGAGTCAGCTGTATGCTGAGGCACTGGAAGTGCCAACGAGAGATACGATCTCTGTCCGTCTCGCGACGGGGACACTGGTAACTGTGTCGAAAGTCTCTGTCGACCTTGGAGTGAAGTTTGAGAACTTCGATAGCGTGGAACGCTGTTTGGTCTTAGACTTGGATGCGAGGTATGACCTCATCCTTGGCATGGCATGGCTGGAACGTCATGAGCCATGGATCGACTGGAAGTCGAAAACGCTGGGTGCGTCGCACCCTGCTCCTAGTGGAGCTTTGGTGAGTCATGAACCCACCTCTGCTAGGAAGCAGAAGCGCTTTTGGCGCGAGCACGAGGCCGAGGCGGCCGTAGTGCTGGACATTGGTATGTCCGAAATTGTTAGCAACGAGGTTGCTGTTTGCCCTGAGGGCGTACGTGGTGCGGCACGTTATCCGCGGAGCGGTGCAGGTCAGGTCAATGACCAACTGCTGGGTCCTGGTGAGGACGAGCGCGGAGTGGCGCGTAATCCACTGAGTGGTATGAATCTGGTCGATGACCTACCGCTGCGTGACCCGAGGGTCGCGGTCGACTGCGAGTCGAGGCATCATGGGCGTGGCCCAGGAGATGCAGGTGAAGTGACACCTAGTTCACTGTGTGAAGGTCAAGAACCTCTTGGCTTTCAGCCGAGTGTCTTGCGAGACACTGTATCCTCTTCGAGGAGTGATGGTGCTGCTGCACCCGGTGGTGGTGACGGAGATGTCGCCACACCGCCCTCATCCGGCCGGGCTCGGTCGCGGAGGGAGGGGAGAAGAAGACGCAGGGCGTCTGTGACGTCTTCGACGTCGGACGATGCGTCCAACGTGACGAGCGGTGATGCTCCACGTGATTGCTGTGAACAGCTGTATACACTCGTGAACGGAGTGACGGGGGAGGTAGAAGGCGATATCAGCCTTGATACTCTGCCCGCTGCAGATGCTCTGCTAGAGCTGGACAAGATGTCCATTGCCGAGTTCGGCGCAGCCTTAAAGGCAGGCGAGCTAGCCGAGGTGGTCTTGCTGGGACCTGAGGAGGAGTTGAACTCCTCATCCGTCGTGGACGACGCGGTCCTAGAGGACACCAAGAAGGCGCTGAGCGCAAGAAGTGGATCGGCGATCCTCAAAGATCCTTCGGATCCCTTCTACCCGGTGGTGAAGGAGTATGGAGACGTTGTCTGAAAAGACCCACCGACGGGCCTGCCTCCGGATCGAGGCGTGTGTCATGAGATTGACCTGGCTCCTGGAACCAAATACACAAGGCAATGGCCTTTGTTGAAAGAGCAGTGTGACGTCATTGACGCATTCTTCCGTGCGAAGCACGAGGCAGGGATGGTGCGTGAGAGTAAGTCTCCGCACTCGACACCCACGTTCTGTGTCAGAAAGCCGAACGGCAAGTGGCGCATTGTTCATGCTTTTAACAAGCTAAATGCGGCCACTATCCCGGCGCAAACGCCGATTCCTCGCAAGGATGTTCTGCAGATCAACATGGTAGGCTGTACGTTGTACAGCGCGCTCGACTTGGTCGATGGCTACTACCAATTGCTCATGAGAGCGAGCGACATTCCGCTGACAGCGGTGAGTACTCCGAGCGGTATGCTCTGGGAGTGGCTGGTGATGCCCCAGGGGCTGTCGAACGCACCAGCAACGTTCAATCGTCTTGTGACGCAGTTGTTTAGGCCCCACCGGGCGTACGCTCAAACGTACTTTGACGATATATTCGTCCATAGTCGTGCCGAGCACGGAAAGTCAGACGTGGATAACCACATTGACCACTTGCGAGCGGTGCTCGAGTGCATGCGCACTAATAAGTTGTATGCCAACTTGGACAAGTGCGTCTTTGGCGCGGAGGAGATACCTTTCCTCGGGTGCTTCATTGGGAAGCGTGGCTTACGGGCAGATCCTGCCAAAGTCAAGGCCATCGTGGACTGGCCGGTTCCCAAGAACCAAAAAGACTTACGCAAGTGGCTAGGCTTAGCCAATTACTTGCACAAGTACAGCGCGAATTACGCGGAGATGGCTCGGCCATTATCAGATCTCCTTAAGAAGGATGCACCATGGTGCTGGAACGTCGAGCACGACGGAGCCTTTGAGGCTGTGAAGGAGAGCCTTCTCCAGGCTCCGATCCTTGCGCTACCGGACCCGGATAGTCCGTTTAGCGTCGTCTGTGACGCCTCCGATTTTGCAATCGGTTGTGCTTTACTTCAAGCAGACGCCGAAGGGCGTGAACGCGTGATCGCATTTGAGTCTCGCCAGCTCAAAGCTGCAGAGAAGAACTATCCAGTTCATGACAAAGAGCTACTTGCAATGAAGTATGCTCTAGTCAAATTCAGGGTACACCTGCTAGGCTCTAAGCCTTTTGTGATCTTTACTGATCATGCGTCGTTACGCACTGCGACACAGTCGCCTCATCTCTCTCAGAGAATGGCAAGATGGCTTTCCTTCTTTGCCGAGTATAACGTCGAGGTGAAGTACAAGCCGGGGCGGCTTAATGTAGTGGCCGATGCGCTCTCGCGCAGGCCGGACTACGAGTTAGCCCATGTCACGACAGTGACGTCGTCAGTGCCTGACTTGATACGCGGAGCGTATGCACAAGACGACATGTGCGTAGCGCTGCTACGGGCTCTTGGGAGCGAAGAGTTTCTAGACTCTGACAAAGAATTGTCTGGGCGCTTACGCGCGAGGCTGCATCGATACTCGCTCGATGGCGGCCTGCTGTACTACAGCACCGACGCTGAGGATAACCCTCGTGTAGTCGTTCCCCATGATGAGGATCTCAAGTATCGAATCCTCTATGAGGTTCATGATACGCCC